ATGTTTTGAATTATTATTAAGTTTTTTAAATAATTTAAAAAACATTAAAAAAAAGAGAAGTTATCAAAATGATATTTAATATATTGCTTTTAAAATTATAACTTTTTGATACTCAATATCAATCTTTGCTTTAATTAAAGTTTACTACTGGCATCTAATATTTAGTTTAATTTATGTTTTATTATTCTTACCATGTCATGAAATGGTTCTCAAATAAATTTTTTTTTTTATAGGATAACAGTAAGATCGATCAGGTTTTATAGAATAAAGTAATATCATATTATTATTACTATCATCATCGTCACCTAATGATGTATTAGAAAAGGATTTGGCTTTAGCTCAAATATTATTTTAAATTCCTTTTTTTCCCTCTTTTTTTGTTATCTTAATAATTCTTATTTAATTTACAGATTTCCAAGACAATTATTAAAAGAACATTTATTATCTTATAATATTCTATTAGGAAATTACTGCTTATTTCTTTGTTATGCTATATTTTTATTATGATTATTTTTAACAGCTATTGTAACGCATTTTTACATAGGTTAAACGCTATTCAACCAGCAATCTTTCTGATTATAGTACATTTGCAAATCTGAAACCTAAATATGATAAAATAAATAGCAACCAGTATTTTACCATAATATGGATACAATCAGAAATTGCCTATTTATTAATATTTAAGCTGATTGTTGCATATATACAAAATAAGAAGCAATCAACTATCAAATCTCCGATTTGTATTTATTTATCGATATTTATATACTGGATGGAAAATATCAATTCAATAAAAATTAATAAACATATTTATCTAATAAAAAATGTTTTATAATTGTGTTTTAAAAATTATATCAAATAGTTTATTATATGTGAAACTTTCTTCTAATGGGAATTACGGCCATGTATTTAGTAGAATTTCTCTTGCTAATTTCATAACTACTTGGTATGAATCTACTAAGTATATTATGAATCAGAATTATATAATCACTACCGATTCATAGAAATTGTTTATCCAAATTTCTACATTACAGTTTTTATCATCATATTCAGTATGAAAATGAAACCTTGTTTGATTATTTGGGGCTAGTACAAATTATCTAACGAAGGCTAATCGATGAATCTGCCTCATGATTTTATGTTTAAAGTAATATTGAACCTGTTCTAGGTATGTTTTGACTGATCCATTCTCTTGTATAAACTTTGCAAGTATGTACGAATTCTTTAAATATCGAGTTACGTTAGTTGACCAAAAATTTCAGCCCTAATATGAATACGCCCAAATTGATTTATCTGAGGTCAGACAATGATTCTACGACTAGAACGTCCTTGATTTCGAGATACCTCCTCAATTGAAAAAAAATCTAAGTCATCATAAGTCACGTTGTAATATTTCACTAAAAGATTATACATATCGTCTGGCAGGTTTACATTGACTTTTTTGGAGGCATCATCTCACCAAAGAAGAGTTCAGTGCTAGTAATTGTATTTTCAATCTCAAGGTGATAAATTTGCCTAAATTAAACAAGTTCAGCAAATTCAAAATCATCGTAACTTGCTAAACTTCTCGTTATCGCCTGTGATTGTATTAGCTTTAAACTTTCAACAAGCTTTGTATTATTCAAATGAGCCGATAGAAGGTCATCAAGTTGCCAAGTTTGCATTATTATTCGTAATAGTTCTGACTCAATTTGGCGACAACTATTCAGAAAGGAGCCTAAAGATACAACTAACAGTCAATATATATGTATTTTTTTTAACAGTAATCAGTAACTTACCCAATATACCATTCATTCTTTCAAATGAGTAGCACCAGTAAGAGTATAAGAGACTATAATCATTACAACATTCAGTAAGGTATAAGCTTAGATGAATGTTTGGCATAACTATCTCTTATCTATAGTTCTCTTTAATTAAATGAGCAACCATTAACAGTAAAGAATGAGCTTCATATAATGTATTATTTTCAATAATACAAGTTATTAATATTATACAGGCACTTACAAAATTTGTTAAAATTTTCTGGGGTTGCATAAACCATAATAAATGTCTTCTATTGATCAGCTGTGAATCTAGAAAATCCCTTTCCAGTTGCTATTTTGTAGGGGATTTTTCCTAAGTCAGCAGAAATTTTTATATTTTTTGCATGTTTTTCTATCAACTTGAGATCAGATTTTGTTATCTTTTCTCCATCAATCTACAAACATTTTATGATCTAATGCACAATTCTTAAAAATAAGTTATGCATCAGATCAACAACTAAAAATCAGATTGGGTCAAAGTATGATAAGCATAGCATTTCTAATCATTGAACATAGGTTCGGCTTATGTGACTTTTTTGATCTTCTTTTGTCTATTGATGCTTTCAAATCATCATATTATGATGATGCTCTGTAGTATCTTTAGCCTAAACCATTCGCTAATATCATTGAATTCTCTAAAGTTCAGCCTCTATCCTTCATTACCACTTGCCCTTTTATAATATCTGTAACATCCAACTAACGTAAATATATAACCACATAATTTTCTAATGGCCAGTATATCATTTGAATAATATATCATTACCAATCTGATATGTTTTCCAGTTAGATGTTTATCTGATACAGATAAACTGAAATCATTCCAGAACTCTAATAGTTCATTTATTATAGAAGCTAAATAATGGTTGATTCAGTCTAATTTTACTTCATTCAGTCTAAGTAGTAACACCAATATTAGCATATTTTTTCTCTTAAACCTTATGCTATGTGGAAGGTTACAAATAACACTGTAAATAGCTCTGCAGCTATAAACTGATGAATCAAATGGCTGAAACCAATCCAAATTGATCATAATTCCCAAGTTAGAATCAGCCATTTTAGGAGTAAAGAATTTGGAGAAATTTGAGTATCTATACTTGATGGAAACTCTTTTCATATATTTTTATCATAAATATCTGACATAATACTAAATATACTATTTCGATTAGTCCATTCTCTTAAAAGTTCTTCGAATGCTGATCATTTATATATTGCTGCTAATTGTGTCTTTAGGCACAATAATGGAAATACTATTTTCAGATGCCAGATGTAATCGTTATTTATTGAAACCTTTGTAAGCAGTTCTGATCTACATAATTTACGTTTATTTTACATCAGATGGTGTAGAAATTTGATATTACTACATTTAAACCCGTTAAAATTGATATTTGTTAAATCTTTAGGAATTATTTCATTGATGTTATATAACTTGTTACAATCAGTACAAGTAGCAAAGATCTTTGATCTTTTTTTGATGTCCAATAACTTTCTGGCTATATATGCTATTAATGGAAATTTTTTAAATTGGTTTGAATCAATATTTTTCAAAACAAGACTAAAGAATCCAATTAATACACTGATTGTAATATCAGAAAGCTGAAACCTCTCCTGATATTTGAAGATTCAAAAAAGAATCTATAGATTATTTATATCTATGTTATTTTCCTGATCCAAATTATAGTTAGGATTAGCAAGGTTGAAAGCTACAAATAATTTGTCATCATTTAAGGGCAAGTCGTAATCCTCTAAATCTGGTTCGTCATCATCTAATTCATCAATTGATTGAAAATCTTCTTCATCACTAGTTTCTTCATCACCAGTTAAATCAACTTGTTTCTCATATTTTTTGCTTAGAATGATATTATCAGTCTTATGAAACTGATTGTATCTTCTTTACTTTTTTCTGATACTAACTGACTTTCTAATAAAAATTTCTGTCAGATTGGTAATGATCGTCATCTATCATTACAGCTTTATCATGAAGATTTTAATAAGAATCATCAAAATTGGATTGAATTTTATCTGAAACAGATATAAGAAAACAGACTGGTACTGGATCATCCTTTCTTTGTCTTTACCTTTGCTTTTTATCAATCTGTAGATTGAATCTTAGAGCCGTTGCTCTTCCTTTTCATGTTTAATCCTGATAATTGTCTTTACAGTTTTACTGTTACATAATTTGCATTCATATCATACATCTGGTTGAACTTTTGTACGTCTTTTAGGTATTGATTTTAAATGTTTAGGCATTTTATTGAAAGTATAAATGGTCAGAAATAATAAGAATTAAACATGCTGATTATAGATGTAAAATTGTACGAATTTGTTTAAATTTGTGTAATAATGCAAATATATATCATACGAAAGTAATAATGTTGATCAAATTATTTTCATATTTTCATTATTATGATCAAAAATTTTAGAAGTTGTGAGAGAAAGTCTTTTTTTTTGCATAAAGAAAACGATCAACCTATTAAGATTTTTTTTTTAAAAAAAATAAATTAAATTTTTAGCTCTTGAACTTGTAACAATTGTAATCTGAGTCAATATGTTTATGCAATAAAACAATTACAAAATTTTCATACAATTATTACAATTATTATGATTATACTTATGAACAAACTTATTCATGCATTAATATACATAAGTTAAATTTTCATATGATTGTTATAGCTTACTATTAAAAAATATATTTCCTAATATACTTTTTGATTAATCATGATGAATATAAAAGCCCTATAAAAAATTTGCATACGTTTTTTCATTATTATAAATAAGTTTTGTATACGTTTTTTGAAATTCCGTATC